TGGGAACGGTCAGGGGGAGGCTCATGGTGGGGCTGGAAGGGCTGCAAGGGATTTTCCACCAGATCATTCTGGGGTTGTTTTCGAGGACGTACCTGGTATTTCTGAGCGTGGCTGGAGCTCTGCGCACAAGCCAATGCGCAGCCAGGCCCGGCCCCTCGCCCCCCTCTCTCCGTGCCGCCGGTTCCTCTCCTCGTCCCTCGGTCCCGGCCGCTCGCAGGGGCCCTGTCCCACGGGGCTGAGCCAGCGCCGCCGCGCCGGTGGGTTCAGTTTTTCACCGTGACCCCGTGGGCGGCGCCTGCCAGACCCCCGGCCCCAAACTGTTGAGTATTTTAAGTCAGTTAACGGCTATCTCTGGATGCTGGTTCCCCGTCACCCGCCGGCGCGGGGGTTTCTGGCACCCCCCGACAGCAGTTCTGCAGGAGTCCCCCCCCGAGCGCTGCGGCCGGGCCCATTGGGAATCGGGGAGCCGACGGAGCCATTCCGTTAAACCACCGCAGGCGGCTCCTGGCGCGGCCACGGCCACGCTCGGGCCCAACCGTCACCCGTGGCCGCTGTTAAGGGAAAAAAATCCTCAGAATCAGTCAGTAATCAGCTTGCCCCAGGTCTGCTGGGCTTTACTGGTAGAAAGATGGGTTTTACTGGTAACAGGATGAGCTTTACTGGTAAGGCCTCCAGGCCAGCACAGTCCACACCCCCGCAGCGTCCCACGGGTGTGAGGGGACCCCCCCACAGCACTCTGCCCAGTTGGGCGCATGGGAACTGCGACGGGGCCACCCCACAGGCGTCCCTGGGGGGTGAAACCGCTGGATTCGGGTCCCTCCGGCTCTGCTTCTGCCCCCCCTCCACCCCCAGGATCGGTTTCCCCTGGGACTCATCAGCTCCCGGGATCTCACGGAGCCACAAGCAGCTGTCACTTCTAAAAATAAAGATCATCTGCAGGAGCAGCAGCGTCCGTGGCATCGACCCGTCCCCCCCCCTGCTGCCCAGACCCGACCCCTGCCCACCAACCACAGCTTCTGCCAATCAACCCTGAACCCCCGACGGCTCCTACACCGCGCCCTGACGGCACCCCCCTCCCGTCACCCCCACCCCGGGCAGGCGCTTCCTGCAGGGGCCCCCTCTCTTTCTCCTTGTTGTTTCCCCACACATCACAGATTTAAGCCAGGCTCAGCAAGTCCCAGAGCCGGGACTAACAGCAGCCGCTCTCCTGGGGAGGGGCTGAGGGTCAGCACCTCCCCCCCTCACCCAAACTCATCATTTCTGGGCAGAAACCCCAAAATATCAGACCCAGCACCCACGCGGGCAACTCTTTACAAAAGCTTTATTGGTCCCGCGTGTCCTCCACGGGCCAGTTTTTTGGGTTTTTATTTTAAAATTTCTGGAACTGCTTCTTGGTGCCCGCGGCCTTGGTGACTTTGAGGACGTTGAAGCGGACAGTCTTGCTGAGGGGACGGCACTCGCCCACGGTGACGATGTCCCCGATCTGCACGTCCCTGCAAAGACACGGCCAGTGCCTCAGCGGTTCCGCAGGGACCCCCCGGGCCATGCCCAAGCACAGCCACCGGGACGGCACCCGCCCCGCGCTGAGCCCAAGCCCGGGATAAGGCTGAGCTCTGGAAACGCGCTGGGGAGCCTCCTCCAGCCACACCACAAGGCTGGGCTTTGCTGGAAACCTGCGCCCCAAAGCCAGGCTTAGGGAACACACGCCAGCCTCCAACCGTCCCGCTCCCAGCCCAGCTTTTCCCTTGGGAGCGCCCAACCCTTCACCCCTCCCCAGGACGGCCCAGAACTGCCCCCCGGTTCAGCAGGTGCCAGTGGCGCTGTCAGCAGCCCCTCACGCAGGCGGGCTCTGAAGACCATCGTGAGTTCAGACATCACCACCGGTGAGCAGGGTCGGGGCCAGTAAAGTCCCGGGGACGCGCGCGCCGCCGCCAAAGCTGAGCTCAACATTACCAATGCCAGCCCTAAACACTCCCGGCCCCCCCCAGCACCTGAAGCAGGGGGAGAGATGCACCGACATGTTCTTGTGGCGCTTCTCGAAGCGGTTGTACTTGCGGATGTAGTGCAGGTAGTCCCGGCGGATGACGATGGTGCGCTGCATCTTCATCTTGGTGACCACACCTGGGCGACAGCCGCGAGCGTCAGGTTTGGGCTAAAACCGGCGGATTTTGAGAAGAGACGCCCAGGAGGATCAGGCAGGGGTGTGCGGTGCGTGGCACCGGAAGGGAGGACTCATCAGTGCCAGGAATTTCCCCTTATTTACCTTAAAATTAAACCCTAGCGCGTCCTCTGGCCCCTACCAGGATGGACGGGCTTTCCCCCACCTCACTGCCAGGCCACACCACCTTCACATTTGTAAAATAAACCAAATTATTTCTCTTTTTTAAAAGGCTTTCTAAGCAGACTGTGACAGGCTTCCTCTGCCAGGCCACAACCTTTATAAATTTGTATTATAAACCGAATTATATCTCTTTTTTTAAGACTTTCTAAGCACACTGCAACAGGCTTCCTCTGCCAGGCCACAACCTTCAAATGCAATTACAAACCAAATTATTTATTTATTTTTTTTAAAAAAGACCTTCTAAGCACACCGTGACACATTTCCTCTGCCAGGCTGCAACCTTCAAATTTGTATTATTAAAAAAAAAAAAAAAGAAAAAAAAGAAATAATTCAGTTTAAGACCTTCTAAGTGTACTGTGACAGCCTTCCACCTTTATAAATCTGAACTATAAACTGAATTATTTCTCCTTTTTTAAGACCTTCTAAAGGTGCACCGTGAGAGGCTTCCTCTGCCAGGCCACCACCTTCAAATTTATATTATAAATGGAATTATTTCTCCTTTTTGAAGGCTTTCTAAGAATACTGCGACAGGCTCCCTCCCCCCTCCTACTTTACGCCCCCACCTGCGCCGCAGAGCAGATTTGGGGGTTTTGGGGCGCGGGGCGGGTCCCTTCGCGTGGCATCAGCAGAGCCGTGTGGCGCTGTCCTCAGGGCCCTGCGTGGGGCTCAGCAGACCATCGTGAGAGAAGGGCATCACGCGCCGCGCCAGGGCCCGCCTCGCCCCGTGCCCCCCCAGCTCACCCGAGAGGATGCGGCCACGGATGGAGACGTTGCCGGTGAAGGGGCACTTCTTGTCGATGTAGGTGCCCTCGATCGCCTGCAGAGAGAAGCGACCATCAGCGCTGCCGTTACTGGTTTGTTCATCTGAGCTGATTTCAATCATTTTTGGGCTTAAATAAGGATTGAGATCAGCCATACCACGGGTCCCGCTGCTACAAAGCCCTCGGTAAAGTCCCAGGCTGGGGCCACGCAGTCTAAAAATATTCAATAACCAGATTTCTACTCAAACAAGACTTGTAGGGAGGCACCGTCGTTAGGCTGCTCCTAAGGATGGTTCACTGCCCTGCAGACCACGTGTCCTAGAAACGACGTTGCGAAAAAATCCCCGGGGTCCTCCCCCCGCCCGACTCGTTCCAGGACTGAAGTGCGCATGGCCAAAAAGAGGTGGGAACGAGAAAATTAGTTGTGGGAATGA